TCTCTCTATCTCCTTCTCCTTTCCCTTTCTCTCTCTTTCTCACACATAACTCTGTCAACCACAGGTCAGTGCTCCATGGTAGAGGGATTGCTCAAAGCTGTGACTCAGGAAATTAGCCAGGAGGTGTGAGTTGAAAGAGAAGGAGGGACCCTCAGGAAACCCCATGGTTCGCTTACGTAGAAGCAGCCCCACCTTTCCCCTGCCTTCCTGTCCTGTCCCCGCATGGGGTCGACCTAAGCATGGTTGGTTGGTCTCTGTACCCATTAGAATGGGAGACAGTGTTAAAGCATATGACTCTTACAGTTTTTGCTACTGCGGTATTATTTATTGAATGCTTACTATGTGCCAGACCCTGGGCTGAATTCTTTACATATTTAGCTCATTGAATTCTCATGACAAACCTAGGAAGTAGATAAAATTATCATTCCTCTTTATAGAGAGGGGAACTGAGGCCCAGAGACTTCAGCGGCAGCTGGGATTTGAACTTGAGTATGGCTGACTCCACATTCCATAATTCTAACACTGGGAAGTGCTCATCTGATAAAGATACCAACTGCTCTGGCACGTGCTCTAAAACCCTGAGCGCGACCCTGAAGGGGCAGGTTCAGGGTCCTTCCTGGTGAAGAGGAAGAGAGAGATGAGGGCCTGTTGCTAAGAGTCAAAGGTGCTGAAACCGTGTGAGGCAATACCCTGTGTATCCACACCCAGGGGCAGGCCGGGAGTAAGACTGGCTGAGCCCAGAGAGCTGACTTTGCCCCGCGCTCTAAGTTACCAGCAGGTGCGTTGGCATCAGAATGTTGGGGGAAGTCATCCCTAATGGGATGTACCATTCCTGTTGCTCCCAAGGCCCTAAGCCTCTTATTTAAGTGCCAGTCTGTCCACTCCCCCCACATCCTTTTCAGTCTTATGACTTTCACCAAGGGGCCATCCACCTCTATTCTGTAACAGGTCCCCCTCCCCCATGCAGGATCACTGTCTTCATGGTGAGAAGTTATGGGAATGGGTGGGAAGCAGAGGGTCTGCAGAATTTCCCCCTGCGGTGGCTGGGACACCTTGCAGCTCACTCCTCAGATACACAGAGAAACTGAGAGTGGCGGGATGAGGCTGCATTGCTTTTGCCATCTGAATTCCAAAGGGGGGCAGCACGGTGACTGCTGTTCATGGTGCACTGGCTTTTAGCAAGCATGATTTTTGGGTCTGTTTGCTGTGTTGGAGCTGAGGCATACTGTATAGCTGCAGAGTGATGCTGAGTTAACACCTCTCTGTTCCTCGATCCTTCCAAAGCTTTCGTCCACAAGCACACCTAAGCCACTTTGGTCCATGGATTGGCTCATAAAAGAACTCATGTATTCATTTATTTATTCATTTAATCAACAAAAATGAATAGTGCATTTACCCCATGCCGAGCACTGTGCTAGCACCCTGGAGATAAATGAGGATTAAGGCAGGCGCGGTCTCTTGCCCATTAGACCTGCGTTTCTTTACATTCAGCCTCATAGTAATTCCTGGGAAAACATTACCTTCCAAATAAACCCAGTTGACAAGCAGTAGAAACAGTAAGAGTCTGTTAGATGGAAAGCTTGAGTGCTTTCCAGTAATCCATCCTTACAAAATGTTCCAGCCAGTTCAGCCTGTGCTTACTGTGCTTTCTGTGTCCTAGAAGCTGTGCCCAGCACTGGAGATGCAAGGAGAAGTGAGATGTAGTCACTGCCTACCCATGGTGAGACTAGACGTAACCCAGTTGTTCTAATATTATATGGCAGTGCTGGCCGCTCATTCAACAAATAGTCATTGAGTTCCCACCCTGTTCCAGGCACTGTTCTCAATCTTTGAATACAGCCATAAGCAAAACAGACTCCCTGCCCTCGTGGAGCTTATGTTTTACTGGGGGCCTGGGGACTTCAGGTTTCTGTTTTACATTGGTGGTTAGGCAGGAACTCCCTGAAGAGGTGATTTTGTACAGAGAGTTGGTGAAGGAGGGAGCTATCTATGTAGATATATATGAGGAAGGAGCGCTCCAGACAGAGGGTCATTGGTACAAAGAGGGAGAAGAGTGCAAAGCAGAAGAGGGAGAGCATCTGGTGTTTCTGAGGACCAGCAAGGAGGCCAACTACTGGGGCAGAGTGGGTGAAGAGGAGAACGAGGGAAGAGGTGAGGCCAGAGCAACAGCAGGAGACAGATGGCCAAAGCCCTAAGAGGCACTTGTAGCACTGTGGCTTTTTCTCTGGTGAGATAGGGAGTCACTGGAGGGTTTCAAGAAGCGGCGTTAGCAGGATCCGGTATATGCTTGAAGGGGATCACCCTGGCTGTTGGGATGGGATGAATTGTAAGGGGCAAGAGCAGAAGCCTGAAGACCCAGTAAGAGGTTGTTGCAATTATCCAAGGGAGAGATGAAGGTGGCCTGGACCAGAAAAGTAAGTGCTCAAGGGGGAGAGAAGTATACAATTCTAGATGTCTTCGAAGGATAGAGCCAAGAGGATTTATTGATGGATTGGACATCAAGAAAAAGGAAGAGAAGAGTTAAGGATGAATGAGGTTTTTGGACCAAGCAACTGGAAAGATAGTTACCATTTATGACATGAGCACTGTGTTAGATGAGCTCCTTGTTTAGCAGATGTTTCCTTCCTCCTTCCCCATCTCCTTGAGACGAGCACACTTCCTTCCCCATTGGTAGGGAACTTGGTCATGGACTTGCTTTAGTTCATGAAACTACAGTGTGTGACCCTTAAACTTAGGGCTTAAGAGGCATCATGTATTTTCCCTTGTCTCTGTGGGAGTTCTGACCTCTGCCCTTGGAGTGCCCTTGGTTTCCACTGTCCATGCAGCCTGGATCCCAGAATAAGACATGTAGAGCAGCCTCCTCCTCTGACCCAAAGATTTGTGAACCTGACAATAAATGTTGACATGTAGACTGCTGCGTTTTGGGGTGGTTTGTTACACAACATCATTGTGGCAATAACTGAATGATAAAGGGACAGAAGTAGGCTGAATGCTTTGGGACATCATCATCAAAGATGGGCTCTTAGCCCTGCCTGGGTATTCAGGGAAGTTGCCCTGGAGAAAATAAGTTGTGACTGGATCTTGAAGGATAAATCAGAGTTACCGAGTTCAAGAAGTGGAGGAAGCGTATTCCAAGTTGAGGACATAGCATAAACAAAAGCACAAAAAACATGCTATATGAATATACAGGAAACTCTGCAAGTAGAGGCACAGGGCAGCAGAAGGTGAGTCTGGGGAAGTAGACAGGACCATGGAGGGCCATGGAAGGTTTTGTCTTCCATGATAATAAGCTTGAACTTCATTCCACAGGCATTGAGGAGGCACCAAAGCTTTTTAAGTGGGAGAAAGGCACGGTCTGATTTGCACTTCAGTGGGATCCTTCTGGCCCTATGTGGAGGACAGCTTCACCTATGTGGTGGAAGCTCTTGTGATCATCTGATCAAGAAGAGTGGTAGTAAGGATGCAGGGATGAAAATGGATTGGGGATACATTTAAGTTTTAGTACCAGCAGGATTTAAGGTACAGAAGGAAAGCAAGGACTCAGTATGTGGTGTGCTTTGGACGTCAAACGCTGGAAGGAAATTAGTATCTGATGGGATTATAACATGGTAGTATCGGATGGGATTATAGGTGAATTTTCTTTTTCTTATAAACAGTTTCATTTTCTACATTAATTGCACATTTACCAATGTAAGCAAAAAAATTTGAGTTATGATGTTTAAACCTGCCTGTTTTCCTTTGGGTGAATTTGCTGAACCCTTCAATCTCAGTGTTGGAGAGGAGTATTCACCCTTGGTGCTGTCTTGGCCAGGACTGCAGTCTTGTCTACTTGATATCTAATAACTTTGTTGTTTTTAAACATCAAATTAAAAGGAGATCCAAAATGAGATTCAGAGCAAATATGACCTATGCATCTTATTTGTACTTACCGTATATTGTGAAAACATTTCAGAGAAACACTAATTTAGAATTGGCATTAGCAGATAACATACCCTTCCAGAGGATTATGTCATGAGTCACCTGATTATAGATTCAGAATAGTAAATGTTCAGGAAACTTTTTTTAAAGAGTAATTATAGCACAGCATATGTATAGAAATAATTTTTTAAAAATTTACTTGTGATTGCTGAAAAATGCTATTGATTAAGAGGGGCTAATGACTAGATGGCAAGGTAGGAATTTAAAAAATGTAGAGCCCTGCTAATTATAAAACAAAACCCCAAAACCAAATTAGGCAAATCAGTACTTATGATTTCTCTGATCAAAAGAGCATACACCGTTCTTTTCACCTCAGTGCCTTTGTCCGTTGTGTTCCCAAGTCTGGACTGATGCTCCTCTTTACTTCCTCTAAGAACCTCTGCTCTTCTTAAGACCAGGCGGAAGGTAACTCCAGGATGGCTTTCCTGATATCCCTGGGGAAATCCACTGTTTCATGCTTGGACACCCACTGCATTTTATTCTTAGGGTCCAGCAGACCTGTCAAAGTGCTCTCTGTATTTTTGACACGTTCATACTTGACTAATTAACTTCATTAATTTGTATATCTCAGCCCAGGGCATGCCACATTATAGGACTTGATAAATGTTGCATAAAATGACCATACATATACTCTGATTCAAGAATTTTATTTATGGGAAGCTGAGGCACAAGTAAGTGCTGGTGTGTGGCTACCAGGGAACAGATCTAGGAGGTGCGAATGGGGGTCTATTCTTGGCTCTCAGAGATGGTCTTGGAGCCAGACTTGCCTGTTCAAGGCTCATTATCTTGTGCATAGCAAACTGCACTGACTTTCTAAAAGTCCCGGAAGACACGGGTAAAAGATGAGTAAGTGATTGCATTTAAATAAGTTCAAATCTAATCAGGAAAATAAGATTCTAGTTTTTTGACTGATTTCTCCAAAGAATGACTTAATAACACTTGGAAGTAGGACTTAAAGCTGTTTTGTAAAAATATAAAAAGAGAGAGACCGAGGCTTTGATATGCTTTCATTTCTCTCTACAGCTTCTGTTGTTACCTGTGTGCTGGTGAGCCCAGGCTTTTACCTCCACCCCCAACCCGTATTCTGAGGAGCAGATTTCAGTGTCCAACTGCCAAGTGGTCATCTGCACTGGTAGGTCCCGCACACACTTCAAACCCCGCATGCCCCAAGCTGAACACATGGGTCTTCCAAACATCCAAACCCGATGTTCTGCTTTCTGCTTCAGGAAATAGAGTCCCCATCCACTCAGCCTCCTGAGCTAGAAGTCCTGGGTTCACCTTTGTCTTTGCCAATTAGTTACCAAGATCTATGGATTCTGATGTAAACAATCTCTACTGTCTGAGCCCTACTGCCCACACTCACAGTCGTGATCTTAATTCAAGTCCTTAGAATTTGGTCTCTAGGCTTTTGAATTAGCCTCCTGATTGGACTGTTTACCGACAACAGTTCCTTCTACCCTGATGCCAAACCACTATCCCCTTGGTTAAAAAGCTACAGGATAAAATCCATGCATCTTTATTACCATATTTCAGTATACTTCCCTAAGATTAGCCCCCTTCCCTTAAACCCATCCACCAAGAACACTGGGCCGTTCACGCCTCTGCACATGGTATTTGTCTCCCTTTATGTCTTTCTTTCCCTTCTCCATTTGCCAAACTCATCCTTCAAGAACCACTTCAGAATATCATCTTTTCCAGGAATCCTTATCTCACATCACCAGGCAGTTTGCTGCGCTCTTCTTTGTGTTCTCACAGCATATTGCTCCTACTCTACTATGTTGTATTTATCCCTCAACACTCCAGTCTCTCCCATTGCTTTGAGGACAGAGTTCAGGTCTCTTCCACACTTGTAGACCTAGTACCTAGTACAGTATCTGGCACACAGAAAGAAGACCACCATTTGCTGAAAACCATTTAACCATTCTCAGTCCGTTTCCTCAACTGTAAAATGGGAATAATCATCTCTTCTTAAATCTCAACTTAGATGTCGTTTATGAAAATGCCCTGTAGAAATGAGAAGCAGAAAGGCCTAGAGAAGTGGGGACTCAACAAGGGATTGTTAGTAAAAGTACCTGATCTTATGCATGAGGAAGATGAGCTGCAGAGAAGTAAAGTGACTGAGCCAAGGTCACAAGTCAGTTCCTGGTGGAGCCCCGGGTCTCCTCACTCAGCGGCCCCCATGCCAGCATTGCCCCCGAGGATCGTCTTTTATGGCGGCAAATCACCTGTGTGACATACGCTGTGCCCTGGGCAGAGTGTGACCACAAGGCTGCAAGCTATTTAGTTCCCTCAGGTAATCTCTGAAATCTGACTACCGTGAGCACACTCCTCACATATTTGCTTTAGGTAAAGAAAATATCCAGCCCTGTGTTTAAAATCTGCTGTCTACTTTTGTAATCTTAGAGGGAATACCATTTGGGGAAATAAACTCTTGCTCCTAGTTTTTTTAAGCCGAATTAAAACATTTTTTCCACATTTCCTGGCTCTCATCTCCATGCTTACATTAAAATATCAGGTTTAAGCACATAAAAAAATCAAGTTTCTGATGTGCTGCAGGAAGGTATTAGGTGAATTCTTAGAATAAACTTTAAGCAAAATTAATAATCACCAGAAAAGAGAACTTGTCATCAGAAAGATTCTTGAGCTACTGCTTTCAAAGTATATGTAGGAGAAGCTGGAGAGAGCTATTAACTCAACAGGCAAAGCCCTGGTCTTCAACATGTATCAGTAAAAGGCGTGCTATCCTTCCCCAAAATGCAAACATGAATTCTGATGCCCCAGGTCCAAGCACCTGTTTTACTGTAAATGGAAGTGTATTGTATTTCCAGGATGTGGGGGGGGGGGTGAAGAGAGGAAGAGAGAGAGAAGCTTAGCATCTCAGCATGGCCCTTCTTAATGTTCAAAGCACTTATCCATCAGTAATTAGTAAACCTGCTCTGCAGCCCAGAAGAACAGGTCATTATTATTAATTTCACACTGTAGGTATGGGAGATGGAAAGAACATAATAATATGAAAGATAATCGTGCTACCAAGCATTGGGGGAGTGCTTTTCTGTTTGAGAATTGATAGTATTTAGAAAATTTTAGCCTCAGTCATTCTTACATCACTGTAATTTTAGGACTAGGTACACAAGATTAGTTTCCTTATTTTTCCTGGGCCTTATACCATTCTGCATCTGCGGTGACCAGAGCCTGTACTCCAACTCCTCCAGGCTTCTGGGGTCGGCAAGAGTGCAGACGGTACCATACTACCTGATCTGTCCTACTGAGAGCTGATGGAAAAGTCCATGGCCTCCTAGTGCTAGGGTAATACACGTTTTGAAAGGAAGCCTGTGCCAGGATATTAAAAGAGTGTTTATTATCCCTACACTGTGTTTGAGTGTATAACACTTACGGTAGGTACTGATCACATAGTTTATAAATGAGAAAGAAAGAGAGAGAGAGACACTAGTTCATCAATGCCTAGCGAGATTTCTGAATGATGGAAACTTTTTTCCCTTTGCAATCAAATGCAGTTCTCTCAGTTTTCCTAATGGGTACTAAATGGAACTCTACCTGGAATCCAAGAGCTGCTATGGTATTTTCCAGCTTCTTACAATTCATGGGCTTGAAGGGTAGCAGAATCTGCCACCCTAAAATGGGCCACTTTGTCATAAGGATTCTTTTGCGCTAAAGGCAATTAAGAAGAAGCAGATACAAGAAAAGCTCTCTGCCCTCTCCTATTTGGCTAAAAGCAGAGCATAAATTTGTAAAGGGTGTCCCTCCTCCGCTCTCTACCAAGAAAAACAGATGTTAATCACCAGAGACAACTCTAGACCCTTACCAGCCCAGAGACAGCACCAGAGGTATCTACGCAACAACCTTGTTAAAACTAGCTCTCATCTACCATTAGTTTCCCCATATATTTACCTTCCCACAATTTGATGCCCCTAGAAGCTCAGAGTTCTTTTCTGTTGTCTTGTCATGCGTCTAAAGATTTATCCTTTTGTTACGATGTTATATAAGCCCAAGTTCTAACTACCCCTTTGAGTTACTCATCTCTGAGTTCTCTCATCTGTTTGCATGATACACTTGAAAAAACAGCAAATGCAGAGAGAGGCTTTCTCTGAATGCCCCTTTTCTGCCTCAAGACAGATCCTCCAAAAGGAACTTGATGGCCATAAATCCCTTCCCTGGGAGCTTCTTGAACCAGGGAAGATGGGCTCTTGTCACAGGAGAGGAGGTACTATACCCAGACAGACTTTGTCACAAACTATCATACCTCCCATCTATTCTTCTACGCGCCCATTCGTGTTTCCTAAAATTCATTTACTCTCCCCTAAAAGGCCTGCACCCCTGCCCCCATCCTCCATACCTTTCCCTATTAGATGGTATTTAATCCTGAATTCTAAGCCGCTTCAGAGAGTTACTCATTTTTCCCTGGGTATTTCTCATGTATACACAAGGTATATGTGCTTCTCTGTACTTGTGTTTGTTTTTCTTTTGTTACTCTTTATCACAGGGGTCTCAGCTCTGCACTCAGAAAGGTGGAGGGAAAATTCCTCCCCTACACAGGCAAATCTGTCTCTCCCTGGGCACGACTCAGAAACCCTTCTTCACATGGCCCTTCCTTAGTCCCTGGGGCCCAGCTTCACCTCATACTGGTCCACAGGAGTTCTGTGATGGGGCTCAGAGGTTTAGTTTTCATGAGTACGTGTAGGCACTCTCAAAATCATCAAAATGACACGAAGATTATTTTAAGTTAAAAACATCTGAACAAACAGTAACTAAACTTCTTTTGCTAACTTGAGGAGAGCCTCCCAAAAATACAGTTGCCATAAATCCCCTCTGTGGAGGGGCTGGGGGCGTGGTTTACAGCCAGAAAGGAGACTGACCACCTGGATGAGAACAAACTTCACGAACTCTCAAGCCTTCCCTTTGTATCCCTAAAAGCCCATGTGTTTCCTAAACATCCTGTTTTTCCTTAAACCCTTTTCTCCTCTTCCTTACCCTGTTAGGTTGGTATATAAACCCCTGTCTTTAGCTGTTTAGGGAGCCACTTCTTTTATGCACTTCTGTGTGCGTGTGAATAAACTCGGTCTTTTCTCCCGTTAATCTGTCTTTTGTTAGTCAATTCACAGGCCCCCAACCATTGCAACCTAAGATGGTAGTGGAAAAGTTTTCCTCAGGACACATGACACTAAAATTTTCTAGGAACTGTTATTTGTAATGTGTTGATATCACATGGGGGAATGCCACAATATTCGGTGTAAATACATTAAATACATTGAAGTGGGTGCTTTTTTGGGGGCTGAGGGAGAATAGGGGGTAAAGTATGAAGGGAAACAAAAATATGATAGTAATGATCCATCAAGTAGTTATAGTATTAATTCAATTTTTGTACCTGGGGGTAGAGGGAGCACTAGGAGCAAACGCGGGCGTCGCACTGCTGCGGCCTCTCCCGTTGCAGAGCACAGGCTCCGGACGCGCAGGCTCAGCGGCCATGGCTCATGGGCCCAGCCGCTCCGCGGCATGTGAGATCCTCCTGGACCAGGGCACGAACCCGTGTCCCCTGCATCGGCAGGCGGACTCTCAACCACTGCGCCACCAGGGAAGCCCAATGCTGACGTTTTTGTTCCCTCTACTTTTCTATATTCTCTAAAAGTTTTCTAATCTGTGTGTTTTATTTTCATTATCCCCAAAGCCAACACTTGAAAATGTTTTTCTCCTACTGGATAGGGGTCGTGGCCCATTACTGTCTCCCCCATTGCTTCTGTCAGCTACCTCCCACTTCTTAGCCACCCTGCCTCTCCTAGACCCACACACGCACACACACACGTGCACACACACGTACACGCACACAATGCACACGCGCGCACACACGTACACACATGGAGACACATACACACATGTACACACTCACACATGTACAAGCACACACGTACACGCACACGTAGAGATGCACACACGCACACACACGTACACGCACATGTACATAGATGCACACACATGCACACACACGGAGACACACACACGTACACACACACACACACACAGGCTTTTACAGAATTAGCCTGTCTCAGCTTGTGCCTTGGTCAGTAGAACGCATCAATAGTCTCTGTCCTTTCTTCCAGAATGACCTCCTAGTTTTAG